TCATCTATAAAAATTTCATATACTATTTTAACACTTGAAAAATAAGGAAATGTAAGAACTCAATAACAAGTTTTAAAGTACATAATAAATTACAAAAAGGGAAAAAAGAAAATTATCTTGCAGTTTCGGATGCAAAAATTTTATCATAAAAAGTTTTTACTTGATTTTCAGCTACACCGCATACTAATAATAGTAGCAAGTAATAAATTTCTTCAGTTTCATTTTCAAATAAACTGACTTAAATCAAACATCTGAATGTTAGACACATAATTTGAAAAGATTCTTTTTTTTTTTTTTTTTTTTTTTTTTGGCATATAACCATAACTTGATTTTTAATGCTGAGAACAAGCATAAAAGATCTAAATTATATATCATAACTTGTTATACGATTACACTTAGATAAAGCAAACTTTGTAATACTAAAGACATAGTTTTAAGGTTTGAAATAATTTTCAAAGCAAAAACTTCAAACATCCAACTTCTAACACAAATGCGAAACACTTTATATTAGCTCTACATAAATAGTAATAAATAATTACCTAGGTTTGAAATATTTTTTCATGAATATAAATAAACAGGTATTTAACGTTCTGATGTCATTTTCAGGAACAACATGCATGAATAGATTCACACATAAACTCTACATTAAATAATAGCTACATTATTTGAAAGAGTATTAATGCTATTAGTCAATATCCAAAACACTTTCTTCAAAATTAGAAAACTCCATATATTAGAATCAAACTTGTGATTAAATTCACATCAATTATGCATTTGGACATGGCAGATACAATCTGAAAAGGGCCTAATTGATTTAAGTGAATAACCGCAGCCTTGTGTCAAATGATATAAAAACCCTTTACATTCAAATTTTGTCAGAATCATACAACATTTTTTATAATAATTCTATTTACATCAGAATTCCATTATTACCTACATTTGAAATTACCAACATATTTATAAATAAGGAGGATAACAGTTTTCTGATTTTATTCTCAGAAACATAATGTGCATGAATAGATTCATATACGCCGAATCTTGAACACACTAATTTAAAGAACCTTAATGCCATTAACTAATTTCCAAAAAATTTTCTTCAATACAGCAAAAAATCATGAAACACTCAGATCAAAGCAGAATCAAATTTGTGATTGAATTCACATAAATCATGCATTTGAACATGGCACATACAATTTAACAAGAAACGACATTGTTTCGACTGCTATAAAGGCCCTTATATCCAGATTTTACTCGAATCATGAAACATTTTTCAAAAGTTATTATTACTTGTATTAGAAATATACCTTTATGAATATAAATAAGCAAGTAATCATTTTTTTTTATTTCAATCTAAGAAACATCATGTAAATAAATAAATTTTTATTAACCTTTTAAACTATAAATATACTACTTTGAGGGATTTTTAATTCTATAAAGTTATAACAAAAACACTCTTTTTCAGTAGCGAAAAGCATTTTAAACACCACGATTTTACAATAATTATATATATGATTAAGTTGACATTAACTAATTATTTTAAATTAGACATAAACTTTTGAAAAGGGCCTTATGACTTAAGTAAATAATTGCAGTATGTATTTTTATAGATAAAAAGGACTTAAATAACTAGATTTTCATTTAAAAATACGGTACAATTCCGTTATAGGGACCGCAAAAAAAAAATCACCAAAACTATGTTGATGCCAAAATAATTATGGCAACCTTAACTCAAGAAAAGCATAATAATAAAAAATAACTATCTAAGAGTATTATTTTAATTTAGATGAAAGTTTACTTTCATATAATACACTTTATTATTATAATTTAATATAAACAAACGGCTAATTGTAACTGTAAGAAAGCATTATTGTAACTATCTAAGATTATTAATTTAAGTTGATGGAAGGTTAACTTCATATATTTATTAATTTAATTTATTATTTTAATTAATTTAATTTTTTTATTAATTTAATTTATCAAAAAAAAAAAAAGGGTTAAAAATAAGTGAAATTAAACGGGAGGCATAAAATTTTTAAGATCCTGCAACATCGCAGAAAAAATTTCAGGTTTTTTTTTTTTTTTTTTTTTTTTTTTTGTGCAAATGTCTATACATAAACTCGGACAAATAAGAATTGAAATGTACCCCGATGGTGTTTATTACGCCATTTAGCACTGCCCCACAGTCGCTGTATCGTTTGCGTATGGTCCCCGTTTCGGGGTCCACAAAATTCTAGTTGTGGTTGACAGTAAAATGTTCAATGCCGACATATCGCAGTTCATCCAACTTATATGATTTCTAGCAGTCAGTATAAATAATGCTTCCTTCTGTGACATTTTCCTTTATGATGTTCGAACATCAGTGGCCGAGCGATAAAGTCGCTGAACACTGGTAGTTCGGTCTGAGGTTTGAATCCCGCAAACGGGCTGGCTGTATGGACAATTTAATGGTTTTCTCTATGTGTAACGTGTATACAACCCAGTTTCCCTTAGAAAGTCCTCCACGTAGGCCTCTCTTCCCTTAGATAGCCCTCGAGGCTTTGCTCTAATCACATAAACCAAACCAAACCTTTATGATGTTCCATAAGGTTTTCACTGATCGATCTGGAATAGCGACTAAAACATTCTTTTTATTCTCTGCACAATCCACCGAAAACCCATTGTGGCAGAAGATAGAGAGACGTCCAATGTTATTCTTGCTTCTACTGAAAAGGCTTTTGTCTGCTTCATAATTTTTTCCACATCCGCCGAATTTCAACTTAGGCTGAGAAATTAGCTAATTAAAAAAAATTAGCTATGGCACACACCTCACGCATATCTTCCAGTCTACAGTTGTATTGTGGTTCATCTTCAGTTGGAGTTCACAAAATTCAATAGATGTCATCTCTTGATACCAAAAATAGGTGAACCTGCCTATTTTTGGTATCAAGAGATATAATAAGGAAGGGGATAATAGATATAATAAGGAAGGGGATAATAGCCTGCCTATTTTTGTTAAGAGATAAATAAGGAAGGGGATTAAGAAAGGGATCAAGGGGTATTATAAGGGCGGGTTTTTCCTTCGATCCAATATCTGACTTCTTAATCTTTTCTTCAGAATACAGGTTCATTCCTGCATCTCCATTTCGCTATTGAGTTACCGATAAAGCATAATTTCATCTCGTGGTTTTTCGATCATAATATTCTATAATGAATGATGTCTTTTCTTTGGAAAAATTATATTGCAGACATTTTGTCATTGGGCAATTCCCAAATTGTTAGATCCATATCATTATCAAAAAAGAATAAAAAAAAATAAACCAGTATTCCAATGGCGACTTACAAATATTTCCCCCAACGGCGGGCCTTCGGCTTGGCCACAACTAAGGCCAGGTGGTGGTCACTTTATTATGGAGGCACCTAATAAACCAATAGGGTGTGCGGAAAAATCTATGAAGGAACCAGGCAGTTATAACCATGCCTTCTCCGGAATTCGAGCCCAGGCCTTGTAGTATCGCAGTCAGCTTCCCTAATCAATATATCGTGTGGGCGGTGACTTACAAATATAGAACTATTTAAATTTACGTGGTGTGTGAAATCGCCGCTTTCGCTTAGATTTTGCGCATATATTTTCGCTGCAATTTGCTACGGCCCCTATAATGGAATTATACCACAAAATAGTACTTTTATTTGAATTGTGATGTTTTATACGATAAATAACACAAAAGATTGAAAAATTCTTAAGCATACAAGTCTTGCACAATGAAAATATTTAAATTACCTTTGCAAACCTAACTTAACATACTATGTCACTTTATGTTTCTTTTATATAAGTAATGTACAATTTTCATTATTTATAATATAATAAATTATGTTGATTTAGGGCCACTTTAACCCTGCAAGAAGTATAAATGTATACTTAAAACAAACAGTTTAAGAAATTGTGATTTTAAACATAGCATTAAGAAAATATCATCCAAAATATAAAAAGTTGCTTTTTACTGATTCTTGAATTTTTTCAGTTTTCGTTTCCTCATTTCTTTCAAGTGAATTTGAAGGAATGTTTTGTACATAATTGTTCAAACATATATTTAGAAATCCTGACGACACTCATGTTTATTATCTTGTACAGCAAATTACATTCACAGCATCTTTTATTAATATGTACATACTATATTACAAAAATAACTGAGATGAGCCTCAGTTATTTTTGTAAGAAGCTGATGGTGTAGATGAAATGCTTTTCGTACTTTTCAGATATAATAGTCTGGAAAAGTAAATATGCAACTGATATCAATGCCACCATATTTTCTGCTGGTCTTTGAAACCTCCCAAATTTTACAGTATCAATATATACATAATTTGTTTCCACTAATGTTCTATTTTTTCTGCCAAGATGTAGAAATCTATGCAAGCACTTTAGTTAGTTTCAATATTACTTGCACAATAAACAGCAATTGTATGTGAAAACTTCTGCAACAGTGTCTGAAACTGCAACCAATTTCACCGACCATTGGAAATAATTTCATTGATTAATACTTTTATGAACTTCTTTTACATCTGAAACTTCTGTAATAAACTGTTTTAGAGAGATGTATCGATAGGAATTAGAATGAATCTGAAGAATAGACTTAAATTAATTTTTTTTTCTTTTATATTCCAGGATTTGCTGTACTGAAATATAGTAACTGCCTTCAGACATCTGATGAAAATCTGTACTCAAATTTGTGAGTTTGAAATTTACACGTTAAAATTAATTTTGACCTAATTACTAAAAGTTCTTAATTCTATCGATGATAGCATATATAGTGTGAAAAAGAGCAAAAAATATTTCCTTGCGTAAACATTTGAAATGACTTTTTTTTTATTATCGTTGTTATTAATCTCACTGACAACACCTACGCTAATTCAAATAAAACGCGAAACGCTGGCGAGAAATTACAATAGGTTTACCATCATTTGTTGGCGATAAAAAGAAACGGCGCATGCGCAGTTCGTTCAAAAGATTTTCTCATAGGGAACCGTTCACAGCCATCCCTGTTTTGAGCCGCTAGTGTCTACTTTGTCTGTCTGTCTTATCTCTTCCATTGTCTTTTGCTTTATGAAATATTTGCATCTTTAAATTAACTCAATTTTGTATCCATTTAATTTACACATTTGTTTTCTAATATGTATAATATAATCTGTAATAATTCTAATATAATACGTATAGTATGAACATTTGTTTTTTAATCCATCTTCGTCATACCTATAGGTAATTTATTCAGTAAAATTAAATTGTATTATTCGAATTTTTACTTTTCTTAGTGAAATATTTAGCTGTGCTTCTTTACTTTTTGTGTCCTTGCGATTGTGTATTTGTTTAACTCGTTTCTTTGGCTTTATTTTTTCAAGTTGTCGTTTGGCAAGAGCGGCATTTTTCATTTTCAGTTTGTAGTTAGTAGCATGTTTTGTGAACTGAAATATCGATCAAGTGGTTCCAATATTTATTCAATTTGTAGTTAAGAGTGCATTTTGTTTTGTAAAAAACTAATTAATAGTTATTATAAAGGTTTATTTGTGTTATGTCAATTTACCTACAAGTGAAATAATTTTCTCCCCGTCCCTTAAAGCTCATTTGGATTTTGTAGGCTTAAGTATATTTTGCGTGCAGTATGATAAAATGCATTCCATTTCAAAGAATTCGACTAAATGTCGAGCTATTTAAGTAAATTAAGGGCATGTACTCTTCATTTTACTTGTATCTAAATTAATTTGAAAAAGATTTCGTTGTACTAAATGAATGTATTTTAATAAACAGAATTTTTTTAGATCAAAATTTGCCAAATTTAAATTTAATAATTAAATAGGCACAGCTTTAGTGTTAGTCCTTTTTGGCGAGAAATTTGTTTGGCGACATTTTGGAGCGATAAATGAAACATTATGGTAACCCTAAATACTGAGCTTCAAACATGCCGCCATTTCCGTTCACGTAACTTTAACGAATTTGATAGGTATCAGAGCTTTGATGGCAGGAAAGATAAATTTGTGTTTTTCTTAAAGTTACTTTTGTGTTAGGAAAGCACAACATTTAAATTTTTTTTTAAAATGCCAAATTTTTGATAGTTAAAACTGGTGCTTTTAATATTACATGAGTCTTGACATTTTTTCATATGTCAACTCTGCATATTATTATAAACTCCACCCCCGCCCAAGGGAAAAAAAACACATTTTCAGTAGCATGAGGTAAACTCTTGGTGTTTCCTGTGCTAAGGAGATCAAAATTACCATGGTCTAAAAATACTTATTTACCTCATATTAGAACTATAGGGATGTGTAATTTCATGAATTCATAGGTTCAAATCAAGAACCAAAATCAGGTTTCATTATTGCTTTTATAACATTTTTCATAATTTGTCTGACTATAAAAAATATATGTTGCTTAGATATGGAATATATTGCTTATAATTTAGAGTTCTCAAATTTTGTAATCTTACAACCTAACCTAATAGCTGTATATGAATAACCTTCACTGAGTATTATTACTTTTATTAATAGTATGTTGACATAACAGTCGACTTTTTATTTTAAATTTTATGCAAATTTTCTATATTACTTAAAACATTTTATCTAACAAAAATCTGAATTTTTTGTAATAGAAACTTTATAATAAAAGTAAGAGTACAATTTATATATAAAAATTTGACTACATGGCAAGCACTTAGATACTGATTTCAATGTCTTTAAATGTTATTATCATAAAGTTTAGATATATTCTTATTAAGTTAAGATATACTTTTATTCTAATATAAAGTTTAGATGTACAGAACAGAAGGCACACTTTGTGCTTACGACTCAGTCAACCACTTGTGGCAAGATAACTTATGATAACAATTAAGTTCAAATGTAAAATTTAAATTCAAATAAATTTGTAGCCCAAATTCTGCACAAATCAATTTAATGCAAAGTTGGTTAAAAACTTAACTGGCATGGAATTCAACTATTAGCAATTATAATGCAAGGCTAAAGACTACAAATCTTTTCTTATCTAGCAACTTATTAATGTGGCCTCAAAAGGCAAAACACAGTTTGTTTTAGAAAATAAAAACTTCATTTGGATTCTGGTGAGAAAACGGATGGAGGAAATTGACAGTAAAGATCCCAAGCATAAAATAACTCTGGTTACAAAATAAAGGAACGTTACAATATACTTTGTTCCCTGATTAATTATTAGTAAATAGTATAATGCATTTTTGTTTGTGTCACATACAAATTATTTAGTTTATTTAAATGCTTTCCAAAACTGACAGGATTTTGCAAGCATATTGACCATATTTTTCGACCTATAGATGCAACACTTCTTCTCTTCAGAAGTAAGATTTAGAATTAAGAAATAAGAAAATAAGAGAGAATTATGAATAGAAAATAAATACATATGCTGGCTAGCAGAAGAAGGATGCCTTCATAAAGTACTTTTTAAGAGAAACTGGCTCAGATTCACATTACATCTATGGAAAACTACTAAAACTCCCATATAGCCAGCCTAAACTACCACTGTTCAGTGGCTATCACTCCACCACTAGTGGATTCCAATGACTGTTCGAATTTTTCACAGAAATCATCATTTACGGTGATTGTTGTATTATTACCATTGGTACAAAATTTACTCATTATGATAATTTAATTTTAGCTTTTAAATTATAATCATAAATTACTTGTAATAAATTGAGGGATTAAAAAATACACACTTCTTAATATTTTTACCATTTACAATATTTAATCATAAAAAATATTTTTAACACTGGTACAAAACTTGCCCATTATAATTGAATTTGATTTCCTTCACTTTGAAATATTTTTTTTATTTTCTTTTAATAACAGAGACTAAGAAACTAAAGTAACATATACTAGTTTGAAATGCATTTATTAACCTTTTGTAAATTTCATTATTCATAAACATAAAAATTAACCTTTTGTAAATTTAAAATATTAGCTAAGTACTAATATAATAAAATATAAATATGAACTAACTACTTAAAATATTAATGTTTAATACATTATATTTTGTAATTAAAAATGCTAACATTTTGTAAATTTCATGACTCGTAACATAATAATTGTCATAAATTCATTTACAGTAGTGTTTCAAGAATTTTATCATAGCAGTACTAGAAATATTGAAAATTAGAGAAAGACTGTTTATTCCTGATTAAGAGCTTATTTTTTAGGATTGTTATTTAGTCTAGATCGGGTTTTGTTGACAATCCGCCACTTTTTTCCCGATCTTCAAAACCGGGTCTACCTTGGCGACCGAAGTTCGTCGCCAAATAAAAAAATCGCCAAAAGGACCAATACTAAAGCTGTTCCATTAAATATTATACTTAATTTAATTATAATATATTTATCTTCTTAGTGAATCGTTTTTCTTAGTCTTAGTAAATCTTCTCATTTTCAGTTTTGGATTATCTCGAAACTTTTGTTTAATTTGATTATATTTGGAAAATATTTAATTTCCTTTCTTTTTGTGTAAAATTGAAAATGGAAGAATGAGAAAGAAAATAATGTTTGCTATGAATTATTTGCATTACGAAAATGATGTAGCAAAATATGTTTTGAAAGTGTCAATCATAACGGGTGTTAAAATAAATGTTTGGCCTATGATGATTGAGTAAAAGGTCTGAGATAACACGTTTTCTTCTCATTTACTTACAGCTTCACAACTGCTTGTTTATTATTCATGTGTTAAAAGTAGTATATGCACATGATGTTCCCCAAGCAGATATAAGTTATGGCATGCTAATTTAGTTTCTATAAAGAGAGTGGATGCTAATCTAATTGTTTGCCACACAGTTTTCTTTGCATAATTGTGAAGCTTGTAGCAAATGTTAAGATGTGTTATTGGTGACAAAAAAGGATTTCTGAGGCCATTCTATAATGTTTAAATTGTAATTATTAATAAACTGAAGTAAATGAATCTGGAGTTCTACGTTAATATTGCAACAGCAAAACCCATGTTTCTTCTTTAAGTTACTTGTGAATTGGTGAAAAATGTTTCTTAGGCTATAGGATGCTAGGATAGGTTGTTATGTCTCTAAATAAAAACTGAAAGAAACATTTATAAGAAAAAATAAAAATTTATATTTATATTTACATTTTTGCAGGTGATGGATTCAGGATTAATAAGTAACCTTTTCACAACAATTTATTTATATTGCCAGATTAGTTTATCTAAAGAAATAGGAGGAGTGTAAATAAATAACGTCAAAACAATATAAAGTGATCTAATAATTAATGAAAGGTTGTGAAAATAAATTAAATTGCTATTATTTGAACTTCATTATTAACATTTGGAATGCAAAAGTATAATATATAATACATTTAGTAAAATAATAAAATTTGTGGTCTGTGTAGGCCTGGGTGGCATTGTCATTATCGTCATATTCTGAATCACCTTATGCACTCAACTGTGATTCCACTTGTCTTCTCTATAAAAGTTTCACTCATTTTCATCTGTACCACATTCATCTAAACAGTTGTCACCATCGCTGTCTCATAAAAGCAAGTGGTTGATCTTTACATTATGGTAACTTGGCGTTTTTTTTTGCGAAAATTTGGCGACCAACTCTCCTACAGCAACCCTCTATTTTTTTTTCCCACCGTCATTTTGTCTTCACGAAGTAAAGACATGTTTCTTTTCTTTTTATCTACTGAACACTTCTTCCAACAATCTACTAGCTGAATTACACTTATGCTAGAAATTTTATCTAACAAAACTGCTTAATCATGACAAATATTCACTGCAAAATTGGGAAAAAGTGCACAATACCATACTCCTTACGCGTTTTTCAAAATAACACATACACATAAACCATGTACATGCCAACTTATTTTTACTTAAACATCCCAGAATTGCACAAAAATGGCATTGTGCACACTCTTCACTATATCCATGTACACTGCTTTTTTCTCATAAATTAGAAAAATTTCACGAAAATACATGACAATTTTCTCAATCTTTAAACCCGGTAAAAAGAACATATATGAAATTACCTGATCGCGGAAAAAAGTATTTACCCTTTCCAAATATGAACATTTCCACATATAAAATAAATAAAATATCCAAAAACTTTTACCTCTAAATCATCTATTACATTATATACGTCACCAACGAATTCATACCGCAAGCATTACAAATACTTAGTATCAAATATTTAAATTATTTCCATGCACGTTTACTTCAACTTAAACGTGTACCAAATTCCTACAAACATAAAATTCACAAAATAACTATCATTTAATTAAAATATCACTAAACCATGTACACGTTGACTTATTTTCACTTAAAAAAACATCCCAGAATTGCACAAAAATGGCATTGCGCACACTCTTTCTTATATCCATGTACACTGCTTTTTTCTCATAAATTAGAAAAATTTCATGAAAATGCATGAAAATACTCGACGTGTTCTACTCAAACGTATTCCAAAATACTACAAACATATAACTCACAAAATCACGATCATTAAATTAAAATATAATTAAATTAAAAAACACTACTTAAAATATAAATAAGCACATACATTAAATTAATAAAAATTAGATTATAATCCTAATTACTTTAAACTAAATCATTGCTAATAACAATTCCAATAATATCATATTAATTTATTTACTCCTTACATTTAGAACAATGCATAAAAATAATATCCTCAAATGATTAAAAATACTAACTTACCTAATCTTCAGAATCTTCATTACATGGCACGCACACTTCCTTTATTTCACACAACACACAATGAAGCTTAATACAAAATAATACAGTACTACAGTTTTCCAAATTCCCCCCCTTTTTCCGATTAAAGAACTGTTATTCGTCCATTAATGTCACATGACATATCTCATGATCTCTCATTTCCCTCACACAAAATAATGCGTAATCAGAACTGAGTACTTCTCACATTATTACCAAAGTCCTAGGTAGTAACCTTTATCGCCTCCAAAATGTCGGCAAAATACCAGTTACCATATTCCAAACATCAGCCATTGTTGCAACCCACACAGGGAAATTTTCTGTTTACTTATCGAACATTATGGTAATAGAAAATAAAGTTTGAAAATTGCAAATCATTATTAGTTCCTATTTTCGCAAAATGTTTAATTATTTTAAAAGAAAATAAAGTTTGAAAATTGCAATACAGTCAAAAGTCGTTAATTCGGACATCCATAATCCGGACCTCAAAGCTAAAATCTTTCTGCGCATGCGCCGCATTGACGCATGCGCATAGGCGTTTTACTCGTGCGCGCAAGACATTTACGTCTGCGCAAGTGCAGAATACGTTTTCGCGTGCGCGTTTAATATATAACGGACGGTATAAGCTAAAATTATCTAATTATCTATTTCAGTTAATGTTGATGATTGCGTTGTTCTTTAATCTTCGAATTGGATCCGGCTTATTATTTTTTGCAGACTGTAAGAGCAATTTTCTAAAAGTAAGCTTGAACTTTTGATTATGTTAAATAGAATTTCCGATGCTGGAGCTCCCAAAGGATCTAGAAAACGAAAGTATGTTTCGATGTCCATCAAACAAAAAACGAATTGCAACAAAAAATGGATAAAGGCATATTCTTTGTTTATCTAACCGTTCCGAAATCTGTTTATCAATTTCACGCTGCTCTGCGCGGGGGGGGGGGGTGTCGCGGCGCGCAATGAACTGGAAGTTGATTTGTCAACACTATCGTTATCTTCAGGGCAGATGTTTTTATTTTATTCGGCTTGTAATTCCTTACTAAATGTAGTATTTAATTTCGATGTACTCCGTCTTTGATATGATTTAAATCAAATTCCTCGTCATTATAAATATCAGGAATACAAATCAAATAGTTTTCTGGTTGCAATTTTCTAATTTCGGCTATGCGTAAGGTATGCTTTACGCATCCGCGCGTTGAAAGAAATGTTTAATAAAGTAAACAAATAAATATTAGGTTTTTTTTTGGTAAATTTTGATACCCTTTAGATCATAATTGCTCATTATTTTATTCATATTTTTAATTTTATAATTTCTGCATGCCATCTTACCAGATTTAAACTGATGATCTATAATCCGGAAAAATCGATAATCCGGAATCGCCGAAGTCCCGACGAGTCCGGATTAAAGACTTTTGACTGTATTTTCACAAAACGTTTATGGGGAGATAATTGAAAAATAAAACTTTATTCTATTTTTTCTCAGTTGCTTACAGTATGTAAGAAATTGCTTGTTTTAATAAGTTTCAAGCATTTCTAGATTTCTAAAAACAGTTTATGTATTTATAAAAGAGTAGGTTTCTTGATTGATTTTATGATAGATATTTCTTTTAGTTTTAAAGCATGAAACTATTTTGTAAAGCTGATTTCTGCAAATCGTATATATGAAAACATTAAGCAGTTGTATTTAATGTAATTTAAGCAATTTCATTTAATATTTCTTAAACTTGTGCTCAGCAAAAAAATATTATATTTTGTTTTTAATATAATTTGCAGTTCTGCAAATTGCATATTTGAAAACATTAAGCAGTTGTATTTAATGTAATTTAAACAATTTCCTTTAATATTTCTTTAACATTTTCCTTTAATATGTGCTCAGCAAAAAAATATTATATTTTGTTTTTCTTATTATTTGCAGTTATCCTGATCATTAGCAGATGATGTCTGAAGGAACAGCGATGAGTAGCGTTCAGGATGACACCATATATTCGGTAAGTTTGTGTTTTCTTGTTTTTTGCATGTTTGGTAGGTCAGAGTTGTTTTCCCTCTCCGATTTCCCTCGGACAGGGAAAACAATTTTGGCTGTTGAAATCGAAGATGGCGGCCAAAAAATAGCCAACTGCCGGTTATGGAAATTTTGTCATTAGGAATGTAGCAAAGGGTAAAAAGTATAGTTTAGGGTACCCCTTGGCGAAACTTGGCGATTTTGTGCAATTCTTTGACTCATTTTGGCGCCAAAATCGCCGCTACACGAAGCCAAAATAACAAGGCAAACAATTGCACAAACTCGGTATCCATGTATACATCGACTTATTTTCACTTTAAAAAAAAATCCCCGAATTGCACAAAAATGGCATTGCGCACTTCTTTGACTTTATCCATGTGCACATCGACTTATTTTCACTTAAAAAAAAAAAATCCCCGAATTGCACAAAAATGGCATTGCGCACTCTTTTAACTTTATCCATGTACACGTCGACCTATTTTTACTTTAAAAAAAACCCCCAGAATTGCACAAACTTGCATTGCGCACTCCCTTTACTTTGTCCATGTTCACATCGATATATTTTCACTTATAAAGTAGCACCAAATTCTACAATATAGGCCAAAAAAAAAAAAAAAAACATAATCTCAACAAAATACATTTTAAACCAAACAATAAAATAACATAAAAAAGGAAAAACATGTTATACATTTAAGCACTACCAAAAGCAAAATTCACTTACCATGATTTTGGAGTTCACTTCGTACTCCCAGAGCCACGTAAAAATCAAAATACAGTCAAAAGTCGTTAATCCAGACTTGTCGGGACTTCGGCGATTCCGGATTATAGATCATCAGCTTAAATCTCGTAAGATGGCATGCAGAAATTCTAAAATTAAAAATATGAAACCGTAATTTATGATCTAAAGGGTATCAAAATTTACAAAAAAAAAAAAAAAAAAAAAAAAAACCTTTATATTTATTTGTTTACTTTATTAAACATTTCTTTCAATGTAAGTTGTTTAAGTTGCTTCGTTTTATGTGATACTACTTTCTCTTTAATTCTATAAACAGACGTAATTTCTTGTTCAGCTACAAAGTTCCGCTGTTCAAGTCCTGTTAATTGCTGTGCCGAGAATACCGACTAACTTGTCAATCGAAATTTTTTCGTTTTCACTAACCTCTCTGTCACATTCTTCATGTCTTTATCCATTTTGTGCAGCAATTCCACTTTTTGTTTGTTGGACATCGAAACATACTTTCGTTTTGTAGATCCTTTGGAAGTTCCAGCATCGGAAATTCTATTTGACATAATCGAAAGTTCAAGTTTACTGTTATAAAATTGCTCTTACAGTCTGCAAAAAATAATAAACTGGATCCAATTTGAAGATTAAGGAACAACGCAATCATTAACATTAACTGAAATAGATAATTAGATAATTTTAGCTTACACCGTCCGTTACACATTAAATGCGCAGGCGAAAACGTATTCTGCACTTGCGCACGTGCGTATGCGAAGTAGTCAAGGTCTTACGCGCACGCATAAAACGCCTGTGCGCATGTGCCAACGCGGCGCATACGCAGAAAGTTTTTAGCTTTGAGGTCCGGATTATAGATCATTCCGGATTATGGGTGTCCGAATTAATGACTTTCGACTGTATCAATCTTACTCAAATGACTTTTTTCAAACCAGGTACTCTTTCTGATTGAACGCTTCACATGGTGACCATCTGAACCTTTCTTCCTACAAATCCACCTAACGGTTTTTACATTCGACTAGACACATATCCTTCCTACATACAGGACACTTACAGGGGTTGGACAAAAATATGGAAACACCTTTAAGAAAACATGTTTCTTTGCTTAATATGGTGTAGGAAACCCGTTGGCATCCAAAACAGCTTGCAGTCTTCTCGGAATGGATAAATACAGTTCCTGTATGTTTGCCAAGGGAATATTATACCATTCTTCCTGCAAAACGGTGGCAAGTTCAGATAACGATGTTGGCGGTGGATAACGAGAACGCACTTTCCGTTCCAATGTAGACCACAAAGGTTCGATAATATTCAGGTCTGGTGACTGTGGTGGCCAGGGGAGATGGGACAACTCATCCTCGTGCTCAGAAAAAACCAGTCCTGGACAATGTGAGCTGTGTGAACAGGGGCTTTGTCGTCTTGGAAGACACCATCGTCATTGGGGAACAAAGTTTGTACCATGGGATGAACTTGATCGGCCAAAATGTTCACATAAGTCTTGGCAGTCGTGTGTCCTGACAGAGTTATCATGGGGCTAGCAGAGAACCACGATATGGCTGCCCAAACCATAACAGAACCCCCGCCATGTTTCACTCTTGGCAACAAGCAGTCTGTATTATAGGCTTGAGATGGCGTTCTCCAGACGTAAACTCGGCCAGAAGTGGGAAACAATGTGAAAGAAGACTCGTCAGACCATATTACTCGCTTCCACTGCTCTATAGTCCAGGTTTTATGACTTAAACACCACCTTTTCCTGTTACGGGCATTAGCATCACTGATGAGTGGCTTCTCAATTGCAGCACGGCCAGCAATTCCCTGTTTATGAAGCTCCCTTCTAATTGTTTTGGTACTCACAGGGTTCGGTAACACAACATTCATTTCAGCAGTAACTTTTGCAGCTGTGGTCTTCTTATTTTTCGTCACAATTGCCCTTAATGATCGTCTGTCACGATCACTCAGGACACACTTTCGTCCGCACTGTGATTTAGCAGATGATGTTTTTCCGCTTTTCAAATATGCGGAATAAATCTTCGATACAGTACCTCTTGAAACACTAAACACCTCGGCTACCTTGCTTGCGGAAGCACCTACCATACGTGCTCCAACAATTTGCCCACGTTCGAAGTCTGTTAACTCTGACATAATGCAATGACAACCTCACATAACAGTACTCCGACAACAACTGAACTGTTTAGCAGATTTACGAAGTTGTATAGGTGGCGTCAGTAGTCAAAAACGCCAGCACCACCTACATATTTCATTAAAATCAATCTTTCTTTTCAAACATGCATTTCACAAGGTGTTTCCATATTTTTGTCCATCAACTGTATAATGGCTACTCAGTAAACCTTCATTTACACACCAGTCAATTAAAGCTCTTTTCCCCTTTCACTCCGAATCGTACAGAAACTTCAAATTAGTCTTACTACATTCGGCCATTCTACCATCTAAAGAATCAAACCAACACAGACCACAAAAATGCTTACAAAACATTCCATGATTCAAAATTTCCCAGAATCATGCATCCGATTATGTCGCAATACGGTGGTCCATAACATTCAACTACTCAGCATTTGTCGAAATTTTTTTAACAATTTGTTGAGAATACTTTATTTTTCTGCATTTCATATTTACAGACTTTTCTATAATTTTTTTTTGCATCTATCTCTTGACAGATTTTATTTTCATTGGCTATAAGATCTAGATTTATGAATCTTTCCTGCGTTATAATTGACCATATGTGTCTTGTTCAATTTTAATTTGGAGAATGATCTTTCGCTGCTAGCAACACTAACAGGAATGCTAAACAGTATTCTCAATATGATCTTCAAGTTCGGGAAGCACAAATTTGTTGACACAGTTAAGTTCAGGATATCGAATCGGTTATTCATACTGGCTGTAAAAATGTCTTTTGAAGCTACTATTTCATCATAAGTACTTCTGCATTAATATCTTTTTGTCACCACATTGTAAAAATTTTTCTAATTTACTTTTTTTTTTTTTTTTTTTTTTGAAATCTGCATTACCAATTTCTGATAAATTACTCAGGAAACTAAAATTATCGCAGTGATTTTTCATTGCATCAGATCTTTCATTTAATGATGCCCAAGCAATATCCAAAATTCTAAAAAAGACATTTGCCCTAAACTTCTTTTCCGGAGATTGAAGGGATTCGTCAGTATGTTCATAATCGACGTGACAATTCTTTCTCCTTGGTTGGACTTCTTCAACAGTTTTAAACTGTGGCTTGCGTTCCACTTCTTTACTAAATTCTTTGGCGTTTCTTAAGAATACATCTGTAATCGATGTCACTTCTATATTTTACAATAAATGTTTTTAATTATTGCCTTTAAAACTAGTGTATAACACCCACACCCTTTTCTTGCAATTCCGCTGACAGGACAAATCGTGCCAAAGGGTCAAGGAACAAATAAATTTATAATCGTTGATTTTGGCACACAGACTTAGTGCTTCATTTTGCACTTCTTTTGACAAGCATCCACCTTCGGATATTTCAAAAAGAGCGTCATAAATTTCTCTTAGTTGATATCTTAAAGGTCAAATGACTTCAATTTCGCTTTCCAATCGAGTGTCTGAGAGGGTTTTGAGGTTTTCAAAAAAACTGCCCATCGTTTATAAAAAGAAATAAATAAATTGTATAATTCTTGAATTGGAAAAAAAACTATATCTGCATTCACCTTTGCTGCATCATTAATCATCGAATTTAAAATATGAGTGGCACAGGGAACATAAAACGCAGGAGGATTTATTTTAAATTATTATTTTGTAGACCATATTTCTTCCCCTTCATACTTGCACCGTTGTCATATTCCTGGCCTCTCATATCATCAAGGGTAATGTTCCACATTTTTCGCATTTCCATTACTGTCTCACATATGCAGTTACCTGTAGAATCATCAACTTTAATAAAGCCTAAAAAATGCTCCTTGATTTTCGCCACTCTATCACTGCAGAGGACAAATTGTATGATGACACTCATCTGTTCAGTTTTGCTAATATCGGGAGTACAATCTAAAATTATAGAGTAATACTTGGTTTTTCGAATATAGTAAGAGTTTCTCTCTCATACTTTTGTCAATAATTTGCAGTATTTCATTTCGACTACCTTTAGGTCGTAATACTCTTTCTACGTGAAATTGCATAAGTGGGTGCAACTTTGCAAACAATTCCACTAATATTGAAGTTTTCTGTTGTCTTTTTGGTACATCATATCAGATAAGCCTCGAAAGGTT